ACAGTCCTATTGACTAAAACAATGCATTCTTTGCAGAGCTTTGTATCGCAACTCAGATATCGTACTAATGGACGACCCGTTGAGTGCTGTCGACACCTCTGTTGCCGAACATATATTTGATAAGTAATGCCATTAATAGTCATATGATATGAGACACACCTACCAGTCCTCTAACCTGCCTTTCCATCAGATGTATAGTGGAGTACTTGTCGGACAAAATCCGAATTCTAGTCACACATCAAATCCAATTCATACGAAAAGCAACACAAATACTGGTCTTAAGCTCAGAGGGCCGGTGTCTAGGGTTGGGCTCATACGACGAGCTCCAGTCCCAGGGAATCGACTTCATGGCTATACTGAAAGATGTAGACCGGGAGGCCGAACACGACAAACAGACCCCAACCCCTAATGAGACACTCCTGACGGAGTCGATCAACGACAGGGTCCGGAGGCACTCCCGGAGCACATCTGTGGCTCAGACCAAGAACTTCGAAGTCTCCGACATTACGGGCGATGGGGAGGACTACTTGCATGAGCCCAGGATTCAGGAGGAGAACCGGGAGGTGGGCTCTATCGGGGGGCACGTCTACTATGAATACTTTAAAGCCGGCGCCGGACCCATACTGTTCACGATTACCCTGTTCTCGATATTGCTATCTCACGGTATATTACATTACTCCGATATATGGCTAACTAAATGGTAAGGGAGTTTAAGCTTGTAAATTTGTATTATTTTATATTAGGTCAATATTAAATAAAAGCTTTATTGTATATCCTTCATGATAAATATACTGTACTAGGTCAATGTGATTTATATTTTATATAAAGAATTCGATATTCTCATTATACGATACTGTACTATAATATATTGTATTTATGCAATGATTAATAATATTTAGAAAACGCTACAATTTGTAGATTGCATACAAGGGTGTTCAAAAAATAGTACAGGGTGTTCAAATGCAAAGCCTCCTAAATGGGTTCCATGTTTGGTAACAACGATGTAATATAAATAACAATGTTTACCAAATTATAAATTATAGGTGATCCAGGGAAGTTTATTTAAGTTAATTTAGTTTTTAAACACTATTGATCTAATATTACAAATATACTGAATCTATAAAATTGTAAATGTAAATTATTGTTTGTATTCAGGACTGACAAAAATCAAATAGCTAGTGTAATTGACCATGATACACGAAATTATTACGTTTACATCTGTGATTTATATTTTATATAAAGAATTCGATATTCTCATTATACGATACTGTACTATAATATATTGTATTTATGCAATGATTAATAATATTTAGAAAACGCTACAATTTGTAGATTGCATACAAGGGTGTTCAAAAAATAGTACAGGGTGTTCAAATGCAAAGCCTCCTAAATGGGTTCCATGTTTGGTAACAACGATGTAATATAAATAACAATGTTTACCAAATTATAAATTATAGGTGATCCAGGGAAGTTTATTTAAGTTAATTTAGTTTTTAAACACTATTGATCTAATATTACAAATATACTGAATCTATAAAATTGTAAATGTAAATTATTGTTTGTATTCAGGACTGACAAAAATCAAATAGCTAGTGTAATTGACCATGATACACGAAATTATTACGTTTACATCTATTCGGGACTCATTGGGGCTCTGTTTGTGACGGCGCTAATGCGGTCGACCACGTGGTTCATGATGTGTATGCAGGCGTCCGTTAATCTACACAACAGTATATTCTCGCGTTTATTACGGGCGCCGATAGCCGTGTTCGACAACAATCCCGTCGGTAAGCGTAACAATAATTTATAGTCTGTTTGTAAAGTTTGTGAAATTATATCACTTTTTAAAATCATTAAGATAGTAATTTTGTTAGCAAATAAATATAATTTTTACTCAATAACATTTAATTAAACAAAATGTCCCGGATTTCTATGATAATTACATTACACCTTATAAATTATTATTATTATGATATCCATATAATTATAGGTCAAATGCTAAACAGATTCTCGAAAGACTTGGGGATTGTCGACGAAATGCTTCCCACCACTGGTTATGACTTCAATTTTGTAAATAAATTTTAATTAAATTAAATTTTTAATTAAAATAACTTATTATTATTAAGGGGTCATTCATAAAGTACGTACGCAAAAATTAGGCCAAAAATTGACCCCCCTCCCCCCTAGTTGCACATCGTACGCATATCAAGACCCCTCCCCTCAAGCGTACATACGCTTTGTTATCACCCCCC